TTGGGGTGTCCCACAGCCTGGGGGTGTGGGGTCCCTGGTTGCGAACAGGGGTCTGGCCTGGTCCCTCCATCCCCTCTGCACCCCTGCCCCAGCACCATCCTGGTGGAACCAGGCTGCCAGGCAGAGGTGACTGAGACTGGGGACATCCGGATCTCTGTGGGGGCCGAGGCCCCCAGCACAGTGGGCACCCAGCTTGACCCCATTCAGCTGTCCATCTTCTCGCACCGCTTCATGAGCATTGCTGGTGAGTGGCTGCCACTGTCCTTCCCCACAGCCCAGCTGTGGTGTAGGGTGGAGGGGTCTGCATGTTGGGCAGAGGTAGGCACAGGTGGTGTGGCTGGCAGGGGTGTGCAGAGAAAGTGTGACCCCGGGGAAGGGGCAGAAGCAGAGTCCCTGCTGGCAACAGGGTGGGCAGTGTGGCCCTGGCCCTGGGATGGCACAGCCCTGCTGTACCAGCTGGCCTTGGGCAGGGTGGTGCCTTTTTCCTACTGGCAGCCCTGTGCTCTGGGATTGCCAACTGTCTGTGAACAGGAAACAGGCTCAGCACAGTGAAGCCATCTGTCAGGGTTAGGCCGGGGGCTTCCTGAGGGGCTCGAAGCCTGTGCCTCGGCTCCAGGTTCTTACTGTGCTAGGCAGGGCAGAGGGCTAATGTGGGGCACCAGGTTCTTGCTGGGGCTCCAGGCAGGGGTGGGGACAAAGGGGGTGCCCCTCACACAGGCAAGACTTGGCCTGGCCACGGTCTCACTGTGTCCAGATGGGCCATGGCTACCAGTGGGCCCTGGGTCTGGGCCTCAGGGGCCTTGAAGGTGGCAGGTGCTGCCTCTCTGTATCCTGGGTTGTGCTGTGGGTGGGGCGGGGCCAGCGAGCGCCTGGTCACTCTGTGTCCCCAGAGCAGATGGGCCGCATCCTGCAACGCACAGCCATCTCCACCAACATCAAGGAGCGCCTAGACTTCTCCTGCGCCCTCTTCGGGCCCGATGGGGGGCTGGTCTCCAACGCCCCCCACATCCCTGTGCACCTGGGCGCCATGCAGGAGACGGTGCAGTTCCAGGTTCGCTGGGTCCCTCTCCCTGCCTTCCTTACCCTGCCCCCTTCCCGCCCCCTCCCTACTCTACCTGTTTTCTGGCTTCAGATCCAGCACTTGGGGGCTGATCTCCACCCTGGTGACGTGCTGCTGAGCAACCATCCCAGCGCAGGAGGCAGCCATCTGCCCGACCTGACTGTCATCACACCGGTGAGGATGCTGCCTGGGAACCCAAGAGGCGGGCCGACCAGCTGATGCCTGAGTACCTGGGGGCACAGGGCAGCCGACCAGCTGACTGTTGCTCTCCACCCCTAGGTGTTTTGGCCGGGTCAGACGAGGCCTGTGTTCTACGTGGCCAGCCGTGGGCACCATGCAGACATTGGGGGCATCACACCAGGCTCCATGCCCCCCCACTCCACCACGCTGCAGCAGGAGGGCGCTGTTTTTCTGTCCTTTAAACTCGTCCAGGGGGGCGTCTTCCAGGAGGAGGGTGAGTGGGAGTGGGGCTGGGGACTGGTGGGGGTGGATTCAGTGAGCTGGTAGACATGGCTACTGCCTACAGCTAGGCCGGTCCAGATGCTGGGACGCAGCGCATTGGCCCAGGCCTGCCTCGAGGCCGGGGGAGCCAGGCAGGGACCCCACAGGGAGCTTGCAGATCACCTCTCAAGAGATGATCAGAGTGGCTGAGATGAGTTCTGCTTGGGCCCAGGAAGGCCTCAGTAGTTTTGGGGTGGGGAGTTGGCCAGGATACCCAAGGGGCTGGGTGCAGGAGAGGGAGCGGCCTATTTGAAGCTGGGCAGCTGCTGGTGGTGTTTACGGTCTGTACTGGGTTTGCACTTGGTCTGAGGGCAGCAGAGAAACAGTGGGGCCAAGGGTTGCAGGCTCTTGGAGAGCTCTCCTGGGCCCAAGTGATTGGGTGGTGGGGCAACAGGGCGGCTGTGAAGGGCTTCAGCTGGACCGCGCTGGTCTGCCTATGCACCATGAGAGCCCCCTGCTTGTGTGCAGAATGGACAGGGGGTCTGAGGGTGGCCTGGAGGCCAGGTGAGGAGAGTGGGGTGAGGCAGCTGCAGGCACTCTGGATGATGCTGAGCCTCAAGCTAGGCAGCAAGGTGGACTGGGGACAGTTGTTTGGAGGTCAGGGTTGGTACTTGACAGGATTTGGGGGCAAGGGCGAGGAGTCAAGTTTGGACAGCTGGAGGATGGAGGCTCTGGCACTGAGAGGGCACAGGGCAGCTGCAGGGAAGGTCGGACAGAAGCTGTGGTGGAGCCTGGGGGTAGGGGAAGCATAAATACAGAGCTGGTCTGAGGCTGCAGGGATCTGGGAGCCCAGGGGGCATCCCAGAGTGAGAGGAGGTGACATGAGCAGGGTGGAGCATGCGGTAACAGAGCCATAGGCACTGTGGGTGCCGAGAACACAAATAGAGTGACCTAGGCTTGGCTGCTCCCTTGGTCAATGTGGGGTGGGGGCAGGGGGCAGGGATCATGGGAGGGACATGTACAGGCGCATGGCACGTGGTGGAAGACCCAGTGGCCAAGGAGCCTCAGAGAGAACCATGACCCAGACTAAGGAGAGGGGCTTTCCTGAAGTGGAGAGTGGTCCCTGGGGCCAGGACCTACTCTACTTGCTATAGGATGGAGGCCTTGTCCCAGACCTGTTGGTGGGTGGGCACAGACAGCCAGGTTGATGCTCTTTCCAAGCAGCTGGCTGTGGGAGCCAGTGGGAGGCCATAGTGTGAGGCAGTGTGAGTGGGGGAGGGTCAAGGGAGCGGTTTTTCTCCTGGGAGAGGAGAGGGAGGCCTGGAAAAAGCAGGAGGGAGCGGGACTGGTGGTGGGGAGGCAGGGCAGGAGGAAAGAAGGAGGGAGGAGGGTTTGGTAAGAGACAGATCTCCTGGCCCCCCTCCCAGGCACCTCCAGCTCCTGTGAGGTCACAGGCAAAGCCCTGGGTGCTCATGGGGCTGGGGTGTGAGAAGAATGTTCAGCAGATAGGGGGAGGCTGGGAATTTGGGGGGTGCTGGAGTCAGCAGAATTGTGGAGAGCCAGTGAAGGGCCAACCTGTGGGGCCTGCAGTGCCCAGTGGAGATGCATCGGTGTGCAGCAGAGCACCAGGTGGTCCCGGGGCTTGGAGGGTGCTCAAGGTGACCCCGTTCATCCAGCGGTAACTGAGGCCCTGCGGGCGCCAGGCAAGATTCCCGGCTGCAGTGGGACACGGAACCTGCATGACAACCTGTCAGATCTCCGTGCCCAGGTGGCAGCCAACCAGAAGGGCATCCAGCTGGTGGGGGAGCTCATCGGGCAGTACAGCCTGGACGTGGTGCAGGCCTACATGGGCCATATTCAGGTGGGCCTGGGAGGGGGGGCGGGAGGACGGGAGCAGCTCTGTGCTTGCCCCCACACAGCTGGTCAGGGAGCCAGGGGGGTACCTGGCCCACCTGGAAGGTAGCATGGCTGCCGCTGAACATACTCCCTCCCAGGCAAACGCTGAGCTGGCTGTGCGGGACATGCTCCGGGCCTTTGGAACCTCCCGGCAGGCCCGGGGGCTGCCCCTGGAGGTGTCTGCGGAGGACCACATGGACGACGGTTCCCCCATCCGACTCCGCGTGCAGATCAACCTGAGTCAGGTCAGGCTGCGGGGTGAGGCCTCCTGGGGCGTCAGGGGCGTGCGCCTGGCTGGTGACGACCTCTCCCCTCCCCTCGCGGTGGGCAGGGCAGCGCCGTCTTTGACTTCAGCGGCACCGGGCCCGAGGTGTTCGGCAACCTCAACGCGCCGCGGGCCATCACGCTGTCCGCCCTCATCTACTGCTTGCGCTGTCTGGTGGGCCGTGACATCCCGCTCAACCAGGTGCGCAGGGGTGTGCTGTGTGCGAGAACAGTAGGTCCACCCCAGCCCCTGGTCCCCAGCCCAACCACTCAATAATGGACTGATCCTAGGGCCGCTGATGGAATGGGGACGTATGTCTCCCAATTGCCCTGAGAGCTAGCCCCTGCCCCCCTAGGGCTGCCTGGCGCCGGTGCGCGTCGTGATTCCTAGAGGCTCCATCCTGGACCCGTCCCCTGAAGCAGCCGTGGTGGGCGGCAACGTGCTCACGTCGCAGCGCGTGGTGGACGTCATCCTGGGGGCCTTCGGGGCCTGCGCCGCCTCCCAGGTGCGCGAGCGGGTGGGCGCCACTCCGTCGCGCTCTGGGTGGGGGGAGGGGCGCCGGCAGGGGTTGGCAGGGAGCGAGTGCCCTCCAGTTGAGCGCAGCGGCTGCTTGCCCCTGCCAGGGCTGCATGAACAACGTGACCCTGGGCAACGACCACATGGGCTACTACGAGACGGTGGCGGGCGGCGCAGGCGCGGGACCCGGCTGGCACGGGCGCAGCGGCGTGCACAGCCACATGACCAACACGCGTATCACCGACCCCGAGATCCTGGAGAGCAGGTGAGCGGCGCGGGCGGGGGCAGGCTGGGGACGGGGGCCAGGGGCGCGACCGTGGCGGGCCGCTCTGAGCCCCTGGCCCGCGCAGGTATCCGGTCATCCTGCGCCGCTTCGAGCTGAGGCTGGGGTCCGGGGGCCGCGGCCGCTTCCGGGGTGGCGATGGTGTCGTCCGGGAGCTGCTCTTTCGCGAGGAGGCGCTGCTGTCTGTGCTGACCGAGCGCCGCGCCTTCCGGCCTTACGGACTCCGCGGTGAGCGGCTCCCTTCCCCTCCCATTGCCGTCTCTCTTCCCCATCCTGGCCGCGTCTGTTCCCCACCCTCCGCCCCATCTCCCCCCCAAGTCTCTCCCTTCCTTTTCTCTCCGCACCTCGCCTCTTCACTCAGGGGGTGAGCCCGGCGCCCGTGGCCTAAACCTGCTGATCCGCAAGGACGGCCGGACTGTGAATCTGGGCGGGAAGACGTCGGTGTCCGTGTATCCCGGGGTAAGGATTGCAGCCTGGCTCGTCCCATCGCCCACCCCCAGCGGCCCCTGTCCCTCAGAGGGTGAACAGAGTTGCAAAAATAACCAGAGACTGAGTTTAATTTGGCTCCTGGAGAACAGGGGGCTGCGCACCGCGCCTCGGTGGTCCGGGCCTGCCGCCCTGGGTGCGCTGCCTCGGTGGGGGATGGGGCTGTAGCGGGAGGAAGGGCGGGCGCCATGCCCGCGCTGAACCTGGCCCTCTGCTCCACAGGACGTATTCTGCCTCCACACACCAGGCGGCGGGGGCTACGGGGACCCGGAGGACCCCGCCCCACCACCCGGGTCGCCCCCGCAGCCTCTAGCCTTCCCTGAGCGCGGCAGCGTCTATGAGTACCGCAGAGCCCAGGAGGCTGTGTGAGGAGAGCCCACACAATAAAGATCCCTTAAGTCGCCCTGTTCCCGCGGCGACCAGCCAGGCTCATGCTCTGCGTCCTGTCTGTCTTTCCACCGGCGTCGCACCTGTCGATCGTGCCTGCCTTAGGAAGACATCGCAACTCGGAGCCGAAGTCCCACGGCCAGGTGGTCTGTGAGCCCTGCCAGGGCGGTGCTGAATGTCACCTGTTCCACCTCCTGGGGGTGGGAGTCAGGTTGAGGAGTTGCCCCAGCGCCAGCTGACCCGGCGCCCTGAGTTCTGCCACTTACTGGGCTCAGAGGGCCTCCGGGCACTCCCCGATACGTGATGTAGTCCACGCGCCGCCCCTTCCAGGGCTTAGCCCGGTGGCTTCCGCTGGGAGGGCCTGCCAGGTAGCGACGGCGCCCTTCCTTCTGCTCCAGGGCCCTGAGGAGGGGCTGTGTCACAAGGCTAGGGCACTCTCGTTCTAGGCGGTGTCTGGCCCCCAGGTTGCCACTCACCTCCTCAGCATCTCCGGGGAGCAGGCCACCGAGTGGCAGAGCGTGGAGGCGTTCAGTATAGTTCCTGTGAGGGCGTGGGAGGGCAGTATCAGCGGGAGCCTCGGCCGTGGATCCCTCCCTATGTCCATCCCCCACCCCGGTGCCGTACCCACGGCCCAGGGCTGCTCCCGGCGCGTGCCCAGCCGGCAGGGGTCCTGGAAGCGGCTGAAGAGCTGGTGCTTCTGCTCCTGCGCATGGTCTGGGGAGGAAAACCGGCGCTGGGTGGGCGGGGCCAGGCCGCGCGGCCACGCTCTGCAGCAGCCTCCGCTTACCTGGTGAGCAGTTGTCGAAGTTCAGGTCCCCCAGCAGCACGCTGAAGGCCACGGCTTCGTCGCTCTGACGGCTCTCGGCCTCAAACTGCTCGGCCCAGTCTAGCAGCAGCGTGAGCTGTTGACAGCGCAAGGGCCCATCCTCTGGGGGTGGGGGAGAGGGTGAGGCAAGGATGGGTCAGCCCAGGGTGCCAGTCCGCATCCTGGATGCGCGGCCGCAGCCCTCCCCCGGCCCCGCCCGGTCCTGATTTGTGAGCCCACCCAGGCCCTCCAAGGGGCTCGCGGAGCCTGGGGTACAGAACAAATGGGGAGAGGAGCAATGGAGGTTGGGAACCGCTGCCGCGGAGAGAGAGGCGGGACTTCCTGCCCACCTGCCGTGGGTCCCGGCTGCCAGGCTCACCATTCGGCGCATGCAAGTGCGTGCAATGCAGGAAGCCCACGACGCGTCGCCCATCTAGGATGCCCAGTTGTACCTGCAACACCACGGACGGCCCCAGCAACCCTCGCCGCTTCCACCCCACGCCCCGCCCCCTCCCCGGCCAGGGAGCGCGGCGGCCAGTGGGCTGGTACCTGTGCGGAAAGCAGTCCCTTGGAGGCCAGCGCGTCCTCGCGACGCGCATGGGGGAAACACCAGAAGGCGGCGCGCAGCAGCGGGTAGCGCGAGGCCAGCAGCAGCCCGCTGCCTAGCAGCTTGAGGTGCGGCCCGGGCTGCAGGCCGAACGTGCCCACGTCGTACAGCACCGGGCCCAGATTGGGCGCCAGGCAGTTTACCAGTCTGCGCGCCGCGCGCAGATCGAACACCTCCTGTAGGCACACGAAGTCCAGACCCGCCGGCACCGCGGCTATCAGCACCCCAGACGGCGCCTCTGGCCCTGGCGAGCTGCAGCCAGTAGCCCCATAGCGCGAGGAACGCAGACCGGCGAGCAGCACGGCGCCCAAGGCCTCGGCCCGCCGCTGGCTGTGCTGCAAGTTGCTGAAGCGCGCCAGCCCGTCGGGGAGCAGACACAGGTTGGCGCTGAGGAAGCCGAAGCAGCGCGCGGGCTCAGCTGGGGGTCGCCAGGGCGTGGGGGGCGTCCAGCACTCCGGAGGGGGCTGGTAACAGAAGGGGCGGCGCCAGGCCTGCAGCAGCAGCCAAAGCAAGAAGCCCGGCAGTGCCAGGGGCAGGCCGACGAGCAGCAGCAGCGGCAGCAGCAGCAGAGACGCACCGACGCCCGCCACTGCTCTCAGCCACCTCAGGCCACTCCGGCGCGTCGCCCGCGCCCAGAAGCCCAGCAGCTGGTCCAGGATCCAGTAGGCTGGGAAGAGCAGCGCGCAGGCTAGGCCGTGGAGGATGTCCAGCACAGGGTGCGGGAAGGGCGAGGGCCGTAGGGCGCCGGGCTTCGGGGGCCAGTCGGGCGGGGATTGCATGACGTGGGGGGCTTCCAGGTCGCGGGGCGACCCGGCAACTCATTCACTTCCAGCGTGCGAGTCGACTTGTCGAGGCGTCCGCAGGAGCTGCCGGGGAGTACAGGGGTCAAGGCCACGTGGCGCAATCTGCGCGCGGAGCCGGGAAAGCGGTGTGCCCGCGAGCCTGGGGGCGCGGGCGCGGGCACAGTCGGCAGCTTCCGGGAAGCCGCCCTCTCCTCGCCGGCGCGGAGCCTCGGCCGCCGTTGGAGAAAACAAAGCGAAAGCGAAAGGGACCCTGGCGTCGCAGTCCCGTCCCAGGTCCCCTGCCACGCCCCGTCCTCCCCCGAAGGCCGCAGGGAGAACCCCCAGAGCTGTCCGACGCGAGCGGCGACTGGGGTTTCGCCGGCACCAAGTGGAGGGCGACTTTTTTCAATGCGGGCAGGTGCAGCGCCGGCGAGGGCAGTGCGGTGCGCTGCGTCCCGCTCCGTCCCTCCCTCCCGCAGGTCAGCGTGCAATTGCCCGGGCGCTCCTGCTGCCAAGACCGCGGGATCTACCCCACCCCCACCCGTCTCCTTCTGGCGCTGCGATGTCCAGCACCTGAGTTCAAAGACACGTCCCCAGATGAGAGACGGCTTCGGAGTGGACTGACCAGCCACCCACTCAGCGCTCCGCAGAGCACCCCCGAAGGCCGTGCCCGCAGTGGTGACCGCTCTGTGACCCTACACCAAGGAGCTTCCAGTCTGGGGGGAAGGGACCGTTGTTGGTTCGGCCCCCGAGCAGCCGCTGCCCTCCCCCCCCCCTCCCCCCGGCACGGCACGAGAGCCACGTGGAAGGCAGCTCCCCCTCCGCGGAGCCCTCTCTCGCACCGCTCCTGTGATTCCCAGGACCGATTGGCCTTGCACTCCCTCAGGCGCTGCGGCCCCACCTTTCTAATTCTAACTGTGAACTAGTCCCTACAGCTGCTGCCACGGGCTCTTAAAGTGCCCTGGAGTTTGGGTGGGGGTTGCCCTTCACCCCTGCTGGCAGGGAGGTGGAGGGGCTTCTGCCCTCCCCCTCCAGTTTTCTAAGAATCCCTGATCCCCTTTAGAAATCAAGTCTGGTGCTGAGTGTGTTCATTGCTCCTGATTGGTCTTGCTGTGGACAGAGCTGGGAGTCTCTATCCATAGATTTCCACGTATCTGTATGTAGAGTCCTTGCCTGCTCTTCCCAGGGGTCTGGCTGGATCCCCCTGAAGTAGCAGGCCTGGGAATAGGGAGGGCAGAGAGGCAGGGAGCTCTGGAGTCAGAGGGCTCCAGTACACCCTACAACCCTCTCCTCCCCTCACCTCTCCTGGTTGCTGACACACTCCCACTTCCCATGGCAGCTCCAGCCTCTGCCCCCTCCTCAGCCAGGTCCTCTCCTTTCCCCTTTGTGGGCCAGAGGCCATTCTGTGGGTTTCCTCACACTGCCCTTCTCTCCTTGCGCTTGCCCTTGCAGGCACGACTGCACCCCTTAGCTTCCTGCACCATCCACAACCCCTTCCCCACTGAGGCTGCAGGTCACCTCCGGTGCCATCCTATCCCCATCCCACCTCCGCCCTGCTCTACTCTGCTTTGCCTCCTGCCTGTGCTCCTCAGCTCTGCCCCTGCACCAGGTACGGGCTGCCCTCACCACCTCAAGTCTTGGGCTCCTGTGGATCCAGCCTTTTTCTCCTTGAGAAGAAGCCCTGTCTCCCTGGGCTTGCCCCTCAGCAGGTTGGAGTGAGGATACTTTCTCCTGGCTCTTTCTCCTTCTAATGTCTTGCTGCCCTCAGTGAGGGTCCAGAAGCCCCCCCCCCCCACCGCTGCCCCCCTGGTCCCTGCCTAGTACAGAAGGAGGGACTCCCACAACCACATCCTTGTCTCACTCCCATCTCTGCCTTCTGCTCTGCATCCAGGCCTCAGCTCTGTGCAGGTCACCAGTGCTGGTGACACAGCCACAGCCCTTCCCTGCCTGCTTGGCTCCTTCCCACTTCCTGCTCTTCCCCCTTTGAGTCTCAGGGGCTCCCGCTGCTCCCACCACCAGGCGAGGGGAGCCTTAGGGCCTTCGGAACACTCCTTTGGCCAGACAGCTGGTCTCTTTGATCTCGGGGCTCTTGCCAAGGGCCCTGGAATGTGCATGGACCCCCAGGGCAGGCAGGACTGAAGGGGTACGGGGTGGGGGGGGATGCTGGCGAGCCACCCCAGATGAGGCGGCACCACCCAGGAGTGCTGGTGCAGGCCCTGCGGCCAGCATCTGTGGGGAGCTTTAATGGCCGTGCACCAGGGTGTGGGGCAGAGCGAGCCTGGCCAGTGGGCACTGGCTGGCATCACCAGATGAACATGGGCTTGCCATCGTCGTGCGCCAACTGGCTGAGGCAGGAGAGCAGCAGGAGTGCGTCAGTGAGCATGCTGGGGTGCACGGTCTCCACCAGCACACGCTGCAGGAAGTCCACGGTGTAGGAGCCGCCCTCAGACGCAGCCAGCTCAGGCCGCTCGCGCAGGATGCCATAGGCGTTCACCAGCTGCTCGGTCAGCGCCGGGTGCACCCGCCCGTTGTAGCCCAGGCTCTGCAGCCGGTTCATGATGCTCACGTAGCGCTGTGTGAGCGTCTGGCACAGCTCCTCATCCAGCTTGTGGCTGCTGGGGTTCATGGAGGCCTGAGGGGAGAGCATCCGTCAGGGACCCTCCTGCCCCACACAGGTGCACGGGCAGGCAAGGGGTGAATGAGGCTGAGGGGGTATGGTTGTGAGAGGACCACGATCAGAGGGAATGTGCTCGAAGGAGGTGTCCTGGAGGCCCTGGGAGAGGGGCCCCGAGGGGTATAGGGTAGGGGGAGCCTGGTGGGCCTGGCCTGAGTGGAGCGGTTCCTGAGACCCATCACCTGCTCCACCCACCACCTGGGATTCGGGACTGATCTGAGGCCACAAGGAACTGAGGACAGAGAGCATGGCTGGGAGCCTGGAGGTGAAGGAAAGATGAGGGGGGACTCCTAATGTCCCTAGGGTTGCCTCACCCAGGAGACGCCACTCAGGGGCTTTTGCAGGCCTCCTCCTGGCTCCCTGCCCTGCTAGCTCTCAGCCTCCTCTCCAGGCCGCTCTTGTCACCTCAGGCCGCATCCTTAGCACACTTGGGCCTACACAGCCCCCTGCCCAGGGTCCTTCCCTCCCCTCAGGCTGAGCTGATGACCTGAGGCCCAGAGCCAAGCACCCTCAGTCTCAGACTGGGGGGTCCTGCTGGCCCACTCCCCATGCCTGGACCTGGGGACCGGCAGCAACTGGGTCAGTCTCCACCTGGTTCTTCACCACCTGTGCCCCCTAGCCAGGCAGTGACTGCATGCCCCAGCATCTCACGATGAAGTCAGCCCTGCTCTCCACCTCTTCCGCCATTGTCTCCTGGGCATGTGACCTGGGCAGTCACACAGGGACCTGAGGATGGACTGAGCCTGCCTCAGGGAGGGCGTCCTGGAGGGAGAGGGTGCTGGGCTGAGGTCTGGAGGACCAGGACAACAGAGGGAAAGAAGCTTCCAGGCTGAGGAACAGCATGCATGACATGGACAATGCCAGGAGGCAGAGCACAGAGCAAGGGGCCATGGGGAAAGCCAGGTTCAACGGCTGCTTCTGTCACCACACTGGGTCTGAGCCTCAGTTTCCCTGCTGTGAGATGGAGGGAACAGCACCATGTGACAGGGCTGTTTTCAAGATTAATGGAAATGTCGCCAGGGGCTGCTGAGTACTGCATCCGTGCTGGCCGGTGCCGTATGAGGGTCCTCATGCCATGGGACACATCTGAGGGCTCTCATATTGAACAGACTGTGTTTCAAAGGACTAGGGAAGGGAAAGGCATCCTAGGATGTTGAAGTTTGCCAGGATCTGGGTGGGGAGGAGACTTCAAGGTAGCACCACCCTCTCAGGACCCAGCTCTCACCCTCAAACTCTTCTGCCCTCTTAGCACCTGTCGTGCTTGCCCCTCCCTCATACATAGTTGCGGCTTTTCTTATTTATTGAAGGCTCCCCCAGGAGAGGGTGTGCTCCCCGAGGGCAAAGACTGTGTCTATTTGGTGTGCACTTGGTGTACACTGAATGCTCTGTACTAGTCAGAAGTGAACAGATTTGGGGGGGTGAGGGCAGCTGTGGATCAGTAAGGGGACAGCAATTTGGACCAGGACATAGGAGTGGAGGACAAGAGAATGTAGATGTGGCTACGTATGTGGGAAAAATCTTTAGCGGGAGATGGGAAAAATCTTTCCAGGGAGAACCAGCAGGACCTAGTGTTAGATGTGGAAGAGAAAAGAGGCGTGAGCAAATACACACACACCTCCAAGAGAGCACGCACACGTTCTCATCTTCCGGTCTCTCCGTCCTGGAACACCATGCTCCAGTGATAAGGGAAACGACAGCCAACGTCACAGAATCAGTGTGGTACAGCCCTTATTCTCTGAACACAGGGCAAGTGCGTTAGAAATCGGCAATGAAAAGACAGCCAAACGCCCCTCAGGTAACGGAGACTGGAAAGTGCGTCCTAACTGATTCATGGATTGGAGATCCAGCGCGGTTTGTGAAATATTTCGACTTGAACAGCCCCAAGCCCATCTGTCTAACCCTGGGAGATGCAGCCGAGCGCCGCTCCGATGCAGGCTGGAGCTGGGGGCGGACGCACTGGCCGTGAGCCTGCCGCATTCCCAACCAGACGACACGGCAGAGACGGCTCCCTGGGCCCTGCGTCCTGCTCCAGGACCCACGCTGGCTGGCGTTCCTCTCGCACCAGTCAGATATTTTGAATATCTCCCTGGCTAGATGGAACTTCCTTGCCCTGACTGTATTTATTTAAGAACAAAAGAGATGTAAAATAAAATGACTTAAAACGCTCAACCCAAGAAAGAAAATAAAGCAAACGTATAGGAAGCAGAAGGAAGGAAATAATAAAGAGCAGAAATGAGGAAACAGAATCCAAAGGATCAATAGAGACGATCAGCAAGACAAAATTGGGCAAAGTGGACACACTCCTGGGCAGAGGACAGGCACCCCCGCCTGCCTTTCGGGAATGAAACTCCGGGCAGAGCTCACCGGTCTCGCCCTCCTGCCCTGAGGCCTGACGTCACTAAGTTCGAGCCAATGGGGTGAGACTAGGACTGTAGGACTGTGAGCTCCGCCCCCTGGGCCTCGTTCCCGGACTGCGGACTCGCCCACACGTGCGAGGCGGTGGGCAGCAGGGCCGAACGACCCCGTGGAGAGATGAACACCTGGGTTATGGAAGGGCCTGCGTTTCTGTCACAGCAGCTTGGCACGGTCTCTGAAAAACTAGTGAAGCTGCATAAATAAGTCATAAATAACAGCAAACTGAGCGTCCCAGTGCATTAAAAAACACGAGGGAAGCCGTGTGGTTTATGACCAGACTATCTTCTTGTGTGTCTCAATATGTTAAGAGAAAAGGGGGGAGAGGTGGGGGAAACACCGCGTGCTCATCTCAATGAGAGGCAGAAGAAACATTCTAAAAAATTCAGTGTTTGTTCATCATTACAAAACAACCCAAACACTCTCAACAAATGAGGAAGAGGGAAAACTTCTCAGTCTGATGCGGCCGATACTGAAGCTGGCCTCTCTGGCTTCTAGTTTAGTGCCTGCTAGTGCCTTCCTGAACTCAAACAGGCTGGAAGATTAAAATCACCATTCCCAGACTCCCCTGTGGCTTAGGTAGCCCTGCGACCTGGATGTCTGCCCAGCAGGTGCATGTGGGTGGAACTTCCAGGTGAAGTGAGCACCTGGAGGAGGTGGTGCCCAGAGGGAGAGCAGGTTTTCAGGATTGTGCAATTGCTATGGCACTAGTTCTTCAGGGGCAGCTGTACCAAGTTTCAGGCATCTGACGGGGTGTCTGCATGCTGTTCCCGGGGCAGTGATGGCAACAGTGTGTCCTCTAGGAAATTCCCTTGTGCGCTGGCATTTTTACTGGCTGTATAGCAAACAAGCCCAATTTTGTGTCCTTCCTGGAGCTGCTCCAACCGCCTAAACTGTTATGACAAACTCGTTCTGCTCCCGTTAGCTAGTGTAGATTCTGTTACCTGCAACCAAGAACTCTGACTCGCCTAAAGAAGATCTCGCAAAAAGCCTGGAGCACACATCATACTTCGTGGGAAGACTAGAAGTGTGTGTTCCCAGTCAAGCCAGAAACAGGATGAGGTTGCCGTGTTGTATGCTTCTTTTAAATACTATACAAGATGGTTGTCTATGTAGAAAAGCCAAGACGACGTATAGGCCATCAGAACTAGCGAGAGGCTTTGGCAAGGTAGCTAGATAACAAATCATTACACGAAAATCAAAAGCATTCTCAGCAGGCAGCCCAGAGAGGGGGACTCTGGAGAGCATCGGGGTGCACCATGGACCCAACTGGACACAGTCACAAGGTGCCACCCTCAATCACCCTCACACTGGTGCAGCTGGATTCCAGGTCTCCTAGGACCAGGGCGCCTAAAGGAAGGGAGCTCAGAGCATCTTCCATAGAGCAGCAGATCTTTGCAATTGGGTAGAGGAGGTGACAGGCATGTGCACTGGGACAACTTTTAGTTGGGCTTAAAAGATGGCATAACTGGGGCCGGCCCTGTGGCATAGTGTTTGAGTTCAGCTTGGTCCACTTGAGTGACCCAGGTTTGTGTGTTTGGATCCCGGGCATGGAGCTACACCACTAGTCAGCCATGCTGTGGTGGCAACCCACATATAAAGTGGAGGAAGACTGACAACAGATGTTGGCTCAGGGCTAATTTTCCTCAGCAAAAAAAAAAAAAAAAAAAGGCATAACTGCGAATTTATTAAAAAAGATGGCCAACTGCCGTGAAAAAAGTCAACCAGTCCTCACTGAATGGAGCTCTATTAAAGATTTTCAGCTGTAAAGCTAACAGCATTCATGAAGCAAACACCACCAGGTTTCACTAGGTTTAGTGGGTCTGGATAGAATTTAGAGATCCAGCATCCACCAACATTGGAGTTCAACATGCAGAAAAACAAGATGTTTTGATGAAGGGAAATAAAAGTCTGGGCAAAGTGGAATTAGATGCATATAGGAACCAATGAATGGTCCAGCCAAGCAGGCAGGATGGCCTTAAGATGGGGATGCATCTTTATGATCCTCAGATGTGACCAGACATGAGTCACCCTGCCATGAGTGGCAGCCGGGGCCAGCCAGGGAGCATCTGTCGGGGTCCAGAAGGCAACTTCTGTGCAGGTGGGCTCCAGTGGAGCCCCTTCTTGGGAGCTTGGGCAGCAAGGGTGTGGTCCTGGCAGCACCGGTCATCGCCGATGGAAGCTGAATGGGGGCAACGGCTCTGGAATTGGTAACGGTGGCCATTGGGCAGAGTGACCAGATGAGTATTGTTGTGAGAGCCACAGGCTCTCCAGAGGCTGCCAAGATGGCCGCTGAGGCACTGGCTTGGGGGAAACCAAGCTCCTTGACCTCCTCAAACACCAAAAAGATTGCCTTCCATACGTTCTGATTTTCTCCTCCTGCCTCTTCTCTAAAGAGCTGCTGTTCAGTGCTGTGACTGCAGAATTCCATGGCGTAAGCCATAACTCGCCTGTGAGTGAGCAGAGGCCTGGGAACCAGAGGACTTGCACAGCCAGCTTCGACGTCCAAGGTCGACGTGTGCTTATCAACTTCAGTCAAACGGGCTCCTTCAAGCAGTAGGAAACCTCTTCATAGTTTAATACCTAATTCTACGTGGGCAACTAGACCTGTGCTTATAACGAAATGTAGTCTTTGCCAACGAGATATCAGATGCAGCATTTTAGAGACATAAATATGGTGCTTCTCCTGAGTTGTTTGTCGATTTTTAAATGGCCACGGTCAGTCTGCACTCATGACACAGCAGCGGCGGTGGTGGTCCCGGACACGAGTCAAGGGTCATCAAACCAAATACGACCAAAGTGGGCTCCACTGGCACAAGGAACAGAAATGACGGGCATGTAGAAATACCCCAAATCATAAAGATGTGAAACTTCCCCAGTTTAATCTGTAAAGCAATACAAAACTAAAAATTTGAAGTAGGTTTTTCCCAGAACTTGACGGACTGATCCTAAAATTCATATTGAAGAGTAAGGGGCCAAGAGCAGTGGAGGCGAACTGCAAGAAGAGAGACACCCAGGCTCCACCACCCTTCCACAACGAGGGCAGGGTGGGCTGGGGAGAGCCCAAACATGGGGCCCTGGGAGAGGGGCCTGAGGCGGGGCTGGGCAGCTGCCCTGTGCCCCCACCACTCCAGCCTTAAGCAAGACATGAGAAGTACAAACAGTAAAGGAAAAGGTGGAGAATTCTGACCACATTAAAATTAAAACCTAACCAAAGGACACCTGAACGAAAGGGGAGGGCGAGTTCAAACCTGGACATGGATGAACCCACTGTAACCAAAAATCATTCCTGCCCAATCACACGCCCAGATCTACAAGCCACAGATACAGACAGCCTGAGAGAGAGTGGCTGGGTGCACAGAGGGCTATTTCCCAAGGGAAGCCCAAATGGCCAAAATGCCGTGGAGGCGCTGCCCACCCCCCGCCCCCCAGGCACAGGGTCCCACCCCGTGTTGGCGTGTTGGTGGGGGAGGGATCATTCCGGACAGCTCCTCTTGAGTGTCCAGCCAAGTGCAGCCTGTGCCCGCTACCGCTTCTCCTCCTCCTCTGTGCCTTGGAGAGCCTCCCAACATGGTGGCAAGGAGACATGCCTAAGCAAGTTTGAAAAGCATCGTCCTCTGTGTCCCTCAACGGCAGTGGATGGCATGCTGGGCATACACTGGAATGAACCAGGGCCTGAGTTCCCTGGCCGTGAGCCCACCAGCTACTCATAGGCTCTGAGAGCTGCCTCCCCTGTGCCCCCTAGTGACCCTTGAGGACACCAACAGGGCAGGGGAGAAGATGTCGGCTCTGCCAGTCTGGGGAGGGTCCCTGGGATGAGGTCCTGGAGGCCATTGCAGTGGCAAAGTGGGACGGCACAAGCCTGACTGTGCTGAGCATCCTCCCCTGCCCTGTCCTCTGGGGAGGCCGTGAGGCTGGAACCATAGGCTCCTGATGCCAGATGCCCTGGACACCCACTGGCCAGTCGGACTGAGCACTGTGCTTCCTCCATCCCAGGGTGCCCTCAGATTCCAATGCGCTTGGCCTGGTGGGAAGGCAGGGCCCTCCAGCAGCCCCTCAAGAGCCTGGTCCCCATCCTTGCCGGGTGCCGGGGGCAGGCCCTCTGGCAGTGAGTGGGAGATGGGCGCCACGCACCTGGATGATCTTCTCTGGAATGTTGGAGACAGTGAAGCCATAGAGGCGCACGCGCTCGGGGAAGATGCTGGACAGGATCCTGCGGTCCAGCTGGAAGGCTATCTCTCCCACCAGCCTCTCCCAGGCCAGCTGCTTCGAATCTGGGGACAACAAAGGGAGGAGAGAGTGGTCAGTGGCCATGATCAGCAGCCCAGGTGGGTGCCAGAGAGGTCTCCAAAGGCAGCAAGGGAGACCACCAGACTCCCACTGAACCCCCACTACATCACTGACCTCGGGGGCCATCAGGGAACTTGCTGGCCTTTCGGTGGGCCAGCTTCCGCTCCAACTCCAGGATGCTTTTCCGAGATGTTTCCGAGACGCGTGCACCCCGGTTGTTGTTGACAGAGGCTGGGGAGGATGAGGCTCGAAGTGGGGAGAGAGGGTTGCGTGGAGGGGAGTGGGAGGTTGCTGAGGGCCGGCAGGTGGAGTTGGGGGTGCACTGGGTAATGTGGGTCGTACTAGAGGGAGTGTGGTTGGTGGCAGCTTGGGGGGCGGGAGTGGGGGCAGAGGCAAGGCCTGTGACAGTGAGGGCAGCAGTTGGGGAGGTGGGGTCAGAGGAAGGAACTGCTTGTCCCTGGGGGACACCAGGCTGGGTCCGGGCGTCTGAGGTGCTGTAGGAGAAGGCCGTCACAGGGCCAGGAGTGCCCCCGGTACCGATGGGGGTGGAGGTCTGGATGGGCACACCCACGAACGCCACGCTGAGGGGCTCTGGGTCCTGGCTTGGCCGGGGGTGCTCAGTGGAGAGTGGGACTAGTGACATGGGGGGACAAAAAGGAGAGGAGGAGGATTAGAGTAATGCAGGACCAGGGACTGGCCGGACAGGGAGCTCCCTCCCCTCAGGACCCCCTGCTACCCCTCCCCCTGCACCGGCTACCTTTGGAGGTGGCAGCAGGCCTCGTGCCAGCTGATGGATGGTGTCCAGAGGGGCTTCCTCGGAGCGGCTCTGCCAGCCGCACCCTTGGGGCCTCTGACAGCCCCAGATTACTAATGGGGTTGGCTAGAAGGTTCTGAGGGACGCCTAGAGGGGCAGGCGTGGAGGTGAGCAGGGGGCTGCCCAGAGACAGAGCCATGGGGCTGGCCAGGTGGCTGCTTGGAGTCAGGGGGCCAGTGGAAGGCAGGCCCATGGAGCTGGCCAGTGTGCCCGCCGGGGGCACTGCCATGGGGTTGGCCAGGTGGCTGCTTAGAGTCAGGGGGCCAGTTGAGGGCAGGCCCATGGGGCTGGCCAGTGTGCCCGCTGGGGGCACTGCCATGGGGCTGGCCAAGTGGCTGCTTGGAGTCAGAGAGCCAGTCGAGGGCAGGCCCATGGGGCTGGCCAGGTGTCTGCTGAGGGGGCCAGTCAGAAGGCTGGTGAGTGGGCTGCTCTGCGGCATGGGCCCTGAGCCAGGCAGCAGCGTGTTGAGAGGGCCCGTCAGGGGGCTCATGATTGGGCCGGCTGCAGGGCTGGGCTGTGGACTGTTTAGCATGTCGGCCAGAGGTGCCAGAGTCACCATCCCCACTTCTTCCAGGACAGGTTCGCTTGCTGCTGTCGGGGACGGGGACAGGAAGACACCTGGGGGACACAGAGAAAGCACTGAGACCCCAGGCAGACCCCTGGAGGGTGGGGGCTCTCTCCCTACTGTGGCAGGGCCTGGGCCAAGGTGCCCGTCTGCCTCTGATGGGCTGACCAACCCTCTCTGAGCTTCATCTCTTAGATGGGCCGGACAATGACCTGTCCACCTCCGAGGGAGATCTGTGGGGCGGCTCAGCGGATCTCAGATGAAGATTGGGCCCCTCATCTCCTGGTCCTCTGAGGGCGCTGACAACTGCCCTCCAGCCACAAGGACTTTTCACAGCTGCCTGCCTCTCAAATGTGCCCACTGCACTGAGCTGATGACTCTTGCTGAGGAGAGGAAGGTGTTCTGGCAGCTGGACCCCCAGGTTGCCAGGTTGACCCCTCCGCTTCCTGGTAGGGAGGAGTGGGCCTGGACCTCCTGACCACTGTCCTTTCAGGGACAGCTGAGCCTCACCAGGTGGGGGACTCTCAAGGAGGCCAGAGCTAGAACAGGTGCAGAGCTCAAGTGGCGCTGATGGTGCGCCTGGCTCCTGCCCGAGGTGTCTCGGTGAACAATGGATGCAGGTGCAAGAGGGCCATTTGGCCCAGACACGCTTCATACTTCTGGGACCCCACATGGGGGTCTGGAAGCCCATTTTCCTTGGGTTCTCGAGGAGAGTGCCCTTGAAAGACCACGTTAAGGGGAGAAGGTCCCTAGGGGCACAGCAGCTGGGGGAGGGTACAGGGGAGGTTTTCGTGAGTGTGCAATTTAACTGAAAACGTCCACTTTTTTTGTTATAAAAGCAGTACATGCTCATTACAGGGAAAGAATGGAAGTACAGAAAAGTAAAAAAAAAAGATGAAAAACCACTGGTAGTCCTATCACCCCACGGTCAGTCATGCCGAAAAGCTCCGTGTTGCCTTGAAGACTTTCTCCACGTATTTATATAGATCAGGGATGGACGAACCTATTCTGGAAAGTGCTGGTAGGAAATATTTCTGGCCATCTGGTCTCTGTTCAACCACTCAGTTCTGCCATTGTCATGCGAGAGCAGCCACAGACAACACGGAAACGAATGTGCGTGGATGTGTGTCAATAACACTTTATTATGGACACTAATATTTGAATTTCATGTCCTTTTGCATGTCATGAAATAGCATTCTTCTTTTGATTTTCTTTCAACCATTTAAAAACGTAAAATCCATTCTTAGCTCCCAGGCCACGCACAAATGGGTGGTGGCTGTGTGGGTCACCCGTGTCCTTATGTACCCCACCTCTTCTTTCTGGACCCACATCACGCAGCCTCCAGCATCAGCATCCTCTGAAGACAGCACTTATGGTGGCTGCAGGGGTTTCCATCTTGTGCAACTGCCATTGTTTATTGAGCCGATTCCAATTGTTGGGCATTTGAATTGATTCCAATTTTCCCAATGACAAATAATTCTACTCCATAAATGTTTATTACTGATTTTTTCCCTGAAAACAGACATTAGAGGTTCTTTTTTTCCCCCCTCCCCAAAGCCCCAGTACATAGCTGTATACTCTAGCTGTAAGTCCTTCCAGTTCTTCTGTGTGGGACACCAATGCAGCGTGGCTACTAACAGACAAATGGTGTGGTTCCACTCGCAGGAACTGAGCCCGGGTCGCTGAAGCGGAGCATGCCGAACTTTAACCACGAGGCCATCAAGGCTGGCTCCGTTTTAGAAGTTCTTAATGCATGCTGCCAAATCTATCTTTTTTAAGATCCTTCAGAAACATTCTGACATTCCTTTGGAGGTCCCCGGCATGCCATTTAAATCTCTGCTGATGCTATGCCGCACGATATGTGGGAAGATGTCCCAGCACTTTATTTTTGTTTTAAGTTTTGTTATTTTTTTTCCAAACAAGTAAACTAAAATTGCATAATCAAATCAACCAGTCTTTTCTCTTATGATTTCTTGTTTTAGCTTTTTGGAAATTTTTGCTTTAGAATCGAAGAGACGGAAAACCTTGTGAGCCCATGGAGAGGAAGAACATGAAAGAGAAGGAGCAGCTGGTGGGGCAGATTTCGGAAAGACGTCAAAGAGCCCTGATGGGGAAGAGAGAGGGATGAAGTATGGGATGGAGATTGGAGTTGGGGCGTTTGTCCTTCTTGGCCTCTGTTTCCTCTGCGAGGAGCCCAGGGTCTGGATGATATGGGAAAGGACCACTTGGGCAGTGTCTTCAGGATGGCGGGAGAGAAGACAGCCATGGGTCATCTGTCTCTGCACAGCCAGGCAGCTGCAGGAGGGCCAGTGGCGCCTCACTCACAGCACAGCCAGGTCCTTGCAGGGGCTCTGAGACCTAGGTGATCTGTTTCCACATCACTGATCCCCATACCCCCACAGGTCTCCTTGATGTCCCTCTAGGATGTCTCTGGGGTGTTGTCCCCATTCACTGTCTCAGTTCACTTTCCTTCTTCCCTCCAACACCCTCTCCAACCAGGCTTTCACTCTCCATCCACCCAAAACTCATCGAGGCACCGATGACCCACATTGCAGGATCCAGCACTCAGTCCTCAGGCTTCATCTTCCTTGGTGGATGGCATTCACACAGTGGAGAGCTCCTCCTTATTGAAACCCTGTCTTGGTTGGGCGCTCGGGTTCCTGGTCACCCGGCTTCTTCCAGGTGCTGCTGGTCCCACCTCATCTGCCTGCCCTGGGGCAGCCCCAAGTTCCCCGAGTCTGCTCTTTCTTGGTGAGCGATCCAGCTTGGGCACTGGGGACTAGCTACATGTCCTGCTCACGACTCAGGCTGGACTCCAGACTCACACCCTCAACCGCCTGACCCACTTTTTCCCAGAGTTTTTCTGGGGACTCCGGCTTAGCACTCCTTCAGCTCCCTCTGCAGCCCTGGCATGTCGTCAACGAGCAATTTTGCCCTTTCAGTAGCTCAGGCCCCACATGGTGCAGTCAGCTTCAACACTTCTCTTTCACTCATGCCCTGCATCCAGTCTGCCTGCAACACCTTCAAACACATCCAGAATCAAGCACCTGGACCACGAGCACCGCCCCAACCTGGTCCACACCAATATTACCCTGCCTGGATTATTGCAGGAGCCTCTTGGCTGGTCTCCTGATGCTGGATTTTTTCCTCAAACATCAGCCAGAGTGTTCCCATTAAAATGGGAGCCCGCCATTTCATTCTGAGTGCTAAGTCGTTCAAGGGCCCCCATGATCTGGCCTGTCAACTCTCTGACCTTGATGTCCCCCTGATCTCTCCCTCACACCCTCTGCTCCAGCCCCTTGGGCTTCCTTGCTGTTCCTCAAATGCTCCAGGCACACACTTGCTTCTGCCTTTGCATTGGCTGTTCTCTCTGTCTGGAACACTCTTCCAGTGTACACAGCCGGCCCCCACACTTCCATCCATCTTTTCTCAGTGAGGTCTTCCATCTAAAATCACCAATTTCCTTTACCTCAGCTGTTCCTTCCCCTTCTCCTGGACTGTTTCCTCCTAGGCACTGATTTCTCTCTAAGACGCTCTACACTCACTTATTGGTTTGTCCTGTCTCCCTCCATTAGACTGAAGCTCCTTGAGGGCAGGGGTTTGCCAGTTTGCTGCTGTTTCCCAGTGCCCAGAACAGTGCTTGAGCTATGGAAAGTGTTCAATAAATATAAAGAAAATGATGTGTATGTAAGCAGAGGTGAAATTTGATGATTAAAAAAAAAAAATTGGTCAGGACAGGAATGGAGGTCTATTTGACTCGAGTGTGTGCCCGTAAGCACTGAAAGCTTAATCTGACCACAGAAGGAACTGTGTCTATAAAGTGAGTTTATAAACTGTGACCACTGAGACAGCCACGTGAGATCCAAAATAAAATTAGATAACGTGTTACTATCTGAAGGAGTTGTGTGGTCCGCAGAATACAGAGTGCAAGATGCATCAGGGTCAACAAAAGTCAGTTGTATTTCCAAACACTTGCAATGAACGATGCAAAAATAAAATCAAGAAAACAGCACGAAAAAAAGAACAAAATATTTTGGAATAAATTTGACAAGAGAAATGCAAAACTTATACCGAAAACTAAAAACATTGTTGAAAGAAACTAAGGAAGATCTAAATAAATGGAAAAACATCCTATGTTCAGTATTGAAAGATTTAATATTGTTAAGATAGCTATACTCTCTAAGTTGATCTACAGATTCAATGTAATTCCCATCAGAATCCAAGCTAGCTGATCCTAAAATTCACATGGAATTGCAAGGAACCCAGAATAGCCAAAGCAATATTGAAAAAGGAGGAAAGTTAGAGGACTAACTTACAGATTTCAAAACTTACTACAAAGCTACAGTGATCAAGACTGTGTGGTACTGGCATAAGGACAGACATATAGATCAATGGATTAGAATAGGGAGCCCAGAAATAAACCCATACATCTATGGTCAACTGATTTTCAACAAGGGTGCCAAAAATATTCATTAAGGAAAGAATAATCTTTTCAAAAAATGGTGCTGGGAAAACTGGATATCTATGTGCAAAAGAATGAAGTTGGACCCTTTATCCTATACCATGTACTAAAGTTAACTCAAATGGATCAAAAGCCTAAACATAAGAGCTAAAACTATAAAATTGGATTTGGTAATGGAGTCTTAGATATGACACCAAAAGCATGAGCAACGAAAGAAACAATAGGTAAGTTAGATTTCATAAAAATAAAAAGCTTCTATGTTTCAAAAGACACTCTCAAGAAAGTGAAAAGACAATGCGCAGAATGGGAGAAAATATTTGCAAGTCAGATATTTGATAATGAATTTGTATCCAGAATATATAAAGAACTCTTAACACCTCAATAATAGAAGGACAAATAGCCCAATCTAAAAATGAGCAAAGGTTCTGAACAGGCATCTCCCAGAGATGATATACAAATGGCCAATAAGTGTGTGAAAAGATGCTCAACTTCATTAGTCACCAGGGAAACGCAAATCAAAATCTCAATGAGATACCACTTCACACCCACTAGGATGGTTATAATTAAAAAGTCAGATAAGAAGTATTGGCA